TCACTCAGCAGACATTTTTGGAATTCCTGCTCTGTGCCAGGTGGTGGTTCTCAACCAGGGGCAGGCCACAGAACCAGTCAGGAGAAGGTACCTGCTTCCTGTGGGGCAGAAATAAGGATTTAGTGAGAGGGTGCCTGGCCTGCAGTGAGTGTTCAATAAATGTTAGTTGTTGCTTTTTTCTAACAAATCACCTGAGGAGCTTTTAAATGTGGTTTGGTAGGGCCCGTCATGCATGAACAATTTTTTCCATATTGCCCATGTTGTTGCCGGTGGATGCAACCAGTGTTCCAGGTTCTTGTCCCATCCCAGAAAGAATTCAGAGACAAGACGCAGTGGTTAAAAAAGTAAAGTGAGGATTTATTAAAGGATGGATAGTACACTCTCAAGGGGAGAGCAGGCAGGCTCAGGTGAGCGGCTGCCCTGTGTTTTTTTGGAAAGTTAGTTACATAGGGTGTAAAAATGAACAGGCAGAATATTCACTGGGGAGGGAAGGGTTTGGGGTTGTATTCCCTGATTATCATCCCAACTCCACCTTCCCAAAGGGAGGAGGGATTTTTGTCCTTATTTAGTCTGGATTGGAAGTGTCATGGTGTTGGTGCATGATGGGTACTTCTGATCCGCAAGGCTAATTCTATTGAATGAGGGTGTAATGAGCAAAAGGTTACATTTGGACACTGGAGATTCCTGCCTTTTCTCACCTTTCTTTGTTTGTCTCCAGGCCACTCATCACCTCAAAATGTGTGATCCCTTATCAGCCCAAAGGTTCCTGCTTTCCTTTCTCTTCCCAGGGATCCCTAGTGCTTACATGATGTGTGGTTTCCTGCATTTGGCTTGTGCCTCTCCTTTCTGTTCAATTCCTGCCATTTGGTCTGTGTGCCCCTTTTTCTGTTCGTATCTAGCTATTTGCCTGCTCTAACAATGTGATTCTGGACAATTTTAACATACTTTGTTCTGAAAATACTGAAATGAAAAGGAGTTTGAGAAGTTGATGAGGGAGAAAAACATGAAATTATAGCTACAGTTCTGACATGGAGATGTAGACCAAATGCAGAAGGTGGCAGTGGGAAGATGAGGGGTCTGGAAAATGTTCAGAAGGGAAGGGACCATTGAACTGGTTCTAGAAGGATGACTTGGAATTTTTCCTGTAGAGCTGAGGGAGGGAAGTACATGATGGTCAGAATGGACTATATAGAGGCGAAGAGGCAGGACAGAGAATGATGTAAACAGGGCAAAGAATCCACTCGGTGGAAGCATGGAGTGTGGGGCAGGAGGCAAAAATTAAGAGAAAGACAATTTGGTCACCTAGAGAGGATGGCCTGAGGTGGAGATCTAGAACAATCTAGGACAATGCTGGTCCAAAACAAATATAAGCTACATGTATAATTTTAAATTTTCTAGAAGCCATAATGTAGAAGGAAACAGGTGAAATTAATTTCAGTAATACATACTATTTAACCCTATATAGACAAAATATTAGCATTTCTACTTGAATCAATATTTTAAAATTATTAGTGAGGTATTTTATATTTTTTTGGTACTAAGTCTTTGAAATCCCTTGTGTATTTTACACCTGCTGCACATCCCAATTTGGAGCCACATTGCAAGTTCTCAGTAGGCACATGTGAGCTGTGTTTGAAAGATGAAAGGAAGAGACTGAATTTAGGAGACATTTTTGAGGCTCTCCATAATTTCAAGGCATAAAGGAAAAGATGAAGAGCCAAAGGTGAGGTCCAGGTTTCTAGTTGGGAATACTGTAGATGATGATGCCATTAACCTCAATAGGGCGTCTGTGTATGTGTGTGAAGGCTAACAGTAATACTGTTTCTTCTCTCTGTGCTGAATTGTTAGGGATACTGTAAACTCTCAGTTTACCAAACTTATTATTTGATAGCAGAGAGCACAGAGTACTTGAATGAAAACACCATACTGTTTCCCAGCAAATTTAATGTGTTCTAATTGGATAAACTAACTTGGCCTTAGAGGAAGTAGTTTTTAATGTTATAATTGTACACAGTATAAATAATTAAATATTATATTTAATACTTATGTTAAATATAATAAATACATGTTAAATACGCTATATATATGCTCTTTCACCCTTCTACTCTTAAAACTCTTTATTTCTTCAGTTCAGGGAATCTATGTTATAGATGAGAAAACTGGATCCCCAGGAGATCTGTGATTTACCCAAGGATATTACATACTTATTAGTTGTAGAGCTTTTTAGGAGCCCATGAAATTAAATCTTCTCAACTTAGTATGTCCTGTTGTTTTGGGTTCCATCATTTGGCCAAGGCTCTCTTTGTGGGGAAGGGGAACATTTTATACTTCTTGTAAATTTTTTAAAGGTGTAGATTATGAGGTCCAGTTATATCTGGAAGAAGGGTGAGCAGCGTTCAGAAGATGTTACTGAATCATTTTATTACAGTCCAAAGTGTGACCTCCATTGGGAGTACCCTAAAGTTGATCTGATTCAGAGTGGCTAACTCACACCAAGGATCTCAGAGTACATTTTATCTATTTAATCTTGCAAACGCTTGACTGTCTGTTATGTACCAAAATGGTTCTGGCCTCTGGAGATTCGAAGGTGTCTGAGACAAGGTCTTGACCCTCTAGAAGCACAGTGAACAATAGGTAACAGACACCATAATGTAGTGTCTTATGCTCTGTGCTGTCCGTCCCTGGAACGCTTGTAGCACCTCACTTTACTGTATGTCATGCTCTAATAAATAACACATTTTAAAGTAAACAAACCTATTCAAAGACTGCAGTGTTTTTCATTTGCGTTTTTATTCTGCCACAGTACATACGGTAAAGCCAGGCATCTAGTAAATATCTAGTGTCATCTTACCTGGCACAGTCAGAGCCCTGACCTTGATCAGAAAAATCTGCTGTGTTTCAACCCTTCTCTGTTCTTATGGAGACACAGTCACAGCGTTAAGGGAGAAATATTATACAGAAGAGCCATTGTTGTATATGGATGTGGTCATGCACCTCAGTCAGTAGGAGTTGGGGCCAGTCCCCTTTTCTCTAAAATTCAGATCTCAGCCATCTCCTTAAGGCTCAACTCAGTCAGGAAACAGATATTTAGTGTTGGGTCAGGTCATTGCTGGACATTGGTGTTCTAGACTTGAAAAAAGGAAAAGGTACAGTCCCTGCCCTCATAATGCTCACCATCTAACTAGGAAAACAAGCACTAAATAGATTGTTAGGTCTATTTGAATAGCTGTTAGTGTGCAGAGTGGGTTAAAGCACATAACTGGGGGATTGACCCTCCACTGGGGGTTCAGAAGACCTCACCAAAGACCTAACCTACACCTGAAGTATGTAGTGGAGTTAGCGAGGGAAAGACGGATGGGAGAGAATGATATCCTCCAGGAAACTGAAAAGTCCAGTTCAGCTATAGCTAAGCACATGGGAAGAAGGGCATGGAATAAAGCAGAGCCTCCACGTAACTTTCTCTCACTGCTGGGGTGAACTTGCAGCTCTGCTTTAAGTGTCTTTTCATAGTAATTGTTTTTACATACTTTATTATGTACTTCTTGAGACAGAAATCTATCTAGGACCAGAGGAGGTATTTCAGATAGGGCATGATGACAGGTGTCTCATGGCTTAACAAGGCCTCATGAGGCAAGACAGAAATCAACCTGTGAGCCTCAGAACTGACACTTTGGAGGCACAGGAATCATCAGCCAGCCTGGCTGCAGTGTGATGAAGAAGTGACTGGAGTGGGGTAAAGCATGAAAAGACCTTTGATCTGGCAATTCCAATTCTAGCTAGCTACCCTACAGAAATACTAGCATATTTGCACAAAGAATTTGTATTGCAGTAATGTTTGTAATAGCAAAATATTGGAACTAATCCAAATATCTATTAACAGGAACTTGTTTGCTTATTCATTCATCAAGTATTTTTTTAAGCACCCACTATATGCTGGGCATCATTCTAGGCACTAGAGGGATGTATAGCAGTGAATAAATAGATAGATAAAAGTCCCTATTCTCATGGAGCTTGCAGTCGGGGAGACAAAAAAGGCTAACAGGAAATCTCAGATAATGGTTAGAAGTGCAAGTGTCCTTTTTAACCTGAGTCTGTTTGGTTCCTGAGTTCAGGTGGCAGGAATTTGGACAGTGAGAGATACCTGTGCTAGGAGGAAAATTAAACATGGTAATACGATGTGTAGTAGAATGGAGGTGCTAAGACAACTTTTCTGAGGTGGTGATGCTGGACCTGAGACCTAAGTGACTAGTTGTCAACCACATGGTGATCCCAAGGCCAGGGTTAGAAACAAACTTGAGGTGTTCAGGGATCAGCAAAAGGTTAGCATGGCCAGAGCCCAGTGAGTGAAGGAGGAGTATGAATGTTATTCTTAGTACAGTGGGTGCTGTGGGTTTTAGCCAATGAGTATGTTATGGTACAACTGTACTATGGAGTGCTATGAAGCAGTTCAGAGGAGTAAGGTGAAAGTATACATAGCACTGTGGGACGATCTCCAAGATATATAGTTAAATGTAAAAAGCAAGTTGTAAAACAGTATATATGGTATTGCACAAAAGACTCTGTGTGTGTAAAACATGGAACAGGACTATTAAGTGTATACTCCAAACTGTTAACAGTGGTTATTTGTAAGGAATTTAGTGAGACTGGTGATAGGGTTGAATGAAGGCTGTTACTTTTTATTTGCTGTTGTATTTGGATTTTGTAACGAAGTGCAGGGGAAATGAGGAATTGATTGTATACAAGGCTTTGGAGGGAAACAAGAAGAAAGCTAAGTAGGCATATAGGATTGCAGCACATACTGCCCCTCATGACCTTCCTGCCTGCCATATTAGATTCTTTATAAAATTATGTAAACAACAAGTACATTTAACCCGACATTGCCCCCTCAGGATACCAAATGTGTGATCACTGTTTCTGATAGACCCTCCAGTATGTTCCCAGTATCGCATGGGAACATTTGTGGGGTTAATTCCTAGTTAAGCAGGAATGTGATCCTACAGGAATCAGTGACATTCAAGGATGTGGCTGTGAACTTCACCCAGGAAGAATGGCACCACGTGGATCCTGCTCAGAGGCGCTTGTACAAGGATGTGATGCTGGAGAACTATAGCCACTTGGTTTCTCTTGGTAAGGACCACATCTCATTGTCTTTGTATTGACAGGTCTTTTCTTTCTCAGTTGCTAGGGTTGTGGGGCTCATAGTTTGGGTGACTGTGTTCAGAGTCCGAGTTTGTTCATCATTTTGGGACTCAGCTCTATGGGATTCTGAGCCTGTTCTTTAGGTAAAAGATCTTTCTTTCACAGAACTGGAAATAGGCCGTTTGATTGCATGCTCCTCAAGTTGCACCTTTTTTTCCCTTCAGAGTTCCTAAGGATCAAGGCCTAATACTGACTTGTAGAGGGTTCTTTGTCCACTTGCACAGACAACCAAATCTTGTGTATTTACCCATGAGCAGGATATCAAGTTTCCAAGCCAGAGGTGATCTTCAAATTGGAGCAAGGAGAAGAGCCATGGATAGCAGAGGGAGAAATCCAAAGACCTTTCTATCCAGGTAAATGAGAGTCAAGCATGTAGGAATCAGTACGTACAAAGGCACAGTCGAAGGAGAGGGACACCCCTTCACATTGCTGCCTTGGGAGCGCCTAGACCTGGAGAAGAGGCTGAGCCATCTCCTGGATGACCCCTCTGTATGTCTCCCTTTTCCGTGAGGGTGCTCCTGCTGTTCGTAGGTCTTGCGGGAAAGGTATCCGTTTCTCCTTTCTGAAAGTAACCCTTTGTCCGACACTCAGAACACCATCTCTCCCTGTCTTGTAACCCTACTTGCTGGGTTATTTTCTCCTCTGGTGTCCTTAATCTCCCTTCATTATTTAGAGATCTCTTCTTACTCATTCATTTTGTTTGTTTTTTTTTTTTTGAGGGGGGAGGTAATTAGGTTTATTTATTTATTTTTGGAAGTGGTACTGGGGATTGAACCCAGAGCCTTGTGCATGCTAAGCATGTGCTCTAGCACTTGAGTTGTATCCTCCCACTTCTTACTCATTCAGACATTGGTTGAACTTCCATGTCTCCTCCTTGTTTTGTCTTGATACTTTCACTGTCGGATGCCCCATACTTGTAGGAAATACCCACAAGCTTGATTCTTCCTTTATAACTTGCCTCCAGACTTCTTTCCCTGACTGCACTTCTGTACCACCTGTCTGGGGAGCAATGCCATCTTCCTTCCGTCCTGTGCTCATGCTGATTTGATTCATTTCCTCTCTCCACAGTTCTTGGAGTATCATCCTTTCCTGGTTTACCTACTTGTTAAATGCTTCTTGGCTTTAACTCTTTGGCTTTTCTTGCTTTTCCCTCTTAAGTGAGTCTACCTGGAGTCTGCCCTCTGGCTTCCTCCTCTTTCTTTCTGTATTACCTCCCTGTTAAAGGGTGCCTGCCTTGTGGTAGTTGCAGGTCTTTATTCTGTGCTGTAGACTCAGAATTGTCCTTACTTGTTCCCTGGTTACTTTTTATTTTCTCAAAGGAGCCCTCCACTTGTAAGTCCCATACAGTTCTTATTAAAGATGTTAAAAAAAAAGATGTAAAATCTAAATTAATCATTCTTGCATCCCTAATCAGCACATTTTGCTACCTTGTGCATAACCCATTTCTCCCCTTGTCTGTTAGAAATTACCAGGTTTCCATTCCCTTAGGCCAGACACCATAGCTTATTTAGTCTTTTTCTTTCAACCCAGGTTGTTTTCCTGCTTTGAGAAGTATCTTAGATTTTCCTGCCTTTTAACTTGGACTGGTAACATCCTACACGAAGCCCCAGACTTAGATTACTATTATACCCAGTTGAATTTACTTGCTCTGCTTATCTTTTTTTAATCCATATTGGGTTTTCTAAATCATAGTTTTATTCAGATATAATTCATATACCATAAAATTAACCCTTTTGAAAGTATAGAGTTCAGTGGTTTTGGATATGGATTGAGTTATGTAACCATCACCACTATATAATCACAGAACATGTTCACCCCAAAGAGAAATTCTATACCTATTAGTAGTCACTTCCATTCCCCATCCCCCCAGCTCCTGGCAATCATTAATCTACTTTTCATCTCTCTGGATTTGCCTATTCTGGATATTTTCTATAAATGGAATCATATAATATGTAGCCTTTTGTGACTGGCTTCTTTCACTTAGCATAATGTTTTCCAGGCTCATTCATGTTGTAGCATATATCAGAACTTCATTCCTTTGTATTGCTGAGTAATACTCCATGGATATATCACATTTTGTTTATCTGTTCATCACTTGATGGGCCATGGGCCATGCTGGATTTTAATGTTTTATCTTCATAAACCACCTGCCTCTGAAAGAACCTTGCTATTACTCCCTGTACCTCATTATAAGAAACAAAAACTTCCTTGATTTAAGAATCCCCATCATACTGTCCAGTATTTCTTTCTATTTCTGCTGGAAAAAAAAAAGGCTCTACTTAGCTTGGACTTCTTCTTGATGTTTTCTGTAAGTAGCATACACTTTCCCTCATTAGATAATATATTTATTTCTTCCTTCTCTGATCGCAAATACCATTTATATTGCCTCTACCACACAAATTCAGATGGTATGGATACCATCTGATGGGGTTTTCTTTTTAGTTGTTAAAATACTGAATCTTAAAAAAAATTTGAATCTTGTTTTTATTCTTAGATTTTTAACCTTCTGAAAAGTCTACTTATATTTCTATATATTTTCCATCTGTATTACAGAGCATATAAAAGGTAGTCAGAAAGTACTTGATTGATTGTTGTGGAATCTAACTGGGGAGAGAATGTTCTCATTCATTCATTTCAACAGACATCTCTTGAATGTCCCACTGAGAAGTATTCTAAAAGAAATACAAAGCATTCTTTGTCCTTGGGAATTTAAAATTGAGTCTTGTTCCAGGATAAGGAATTGGGGGTTTTAGGGCCCCATAGTTGCTGTTTTTTTCCCTCCTAACATTTTATTATGAATAATTTCAAATATATGATAAGTTGAAAAAAATTATACAGTGAACACTATATACCTACCACCATGATTCTATAGTTAGCATGTTGTTGTATTTGCTTTATCACATCTTTTCATCTATCCATTTGTTAATCTATCTTTTGATGCATTTTCTGGTGAGTTGCAGACATGAGTACATTTCACCTTTAGAATACTTTAGCATTTATTTCATTGACTAGAGTTCAATATTTGTTCATAGTTTTTTTTTTAAGAAAATGTTACATACATTGAAATACACACCTCTTATATGTATCATCCAGTTGATTTTGAAAATGCATTCTCCCATCTAACCCAGACTTCTATTGATACAGAACATTTCCATCACTCCAGAAACCCCCCTCCCTTTAGTTTTTAAAGATTACCATTTTTAGCATCTAGACATTAACTAATTTAATTTTCTGCTATTAATATTCTGAGGTTAAACAGAAGTTTAGAGATCAGTTTTTAAGGCAGATGAAACTGAATCATTTTTGGTTAGGATAGGTGATTAATGGAGAATCAGAACTCAAATAGAATAAAACCACAACTCCAGTTGTAAGGGCAAGGATGATTTGCCTCCTGAAATACTGTTTTTCAGCTTGGGAAGTATAGCCTTTGCTCTTCAAGTATGTCAAAGAATCATTTCAGTTAGATCATTGGCTGCAGATTTTCTCTGTAGGGCTTGAAGATCTGAAGTCTCAGAGGTGACTTTAAAGAAATTATGAAATGGATATATTAGGAAGATAGGTTTTGTGACAGTTTGTAAAATGGATGGGAGGCATGGAGAGCAGATAGGATTCTGCCAGATGGACTGTGATCCTGCTCCATTTGTATCTCTGCCGAATGCTCTCATGCTCAATTATTCCCTTACTCCCTAACAAGCCTCCTACATGGGCTTCCTCATTCTGGACTTATCCTTCACTCTGGATCTGCAATCTGCACTGTCACCTCTCTTCACTCTTCCTTTTCTCCATTTTGGGTTTTCTCCTCAAGCTACAGGACTAATTTCAAAACGAGTGATGTATAATTTATCTCTCTCTCACTTCCTCATTCCTACTGTAGCAGTTTGTTTCAGCAGGAGGGAATAGGGGACTTTTGCACTTTGGATGTCTTTCAGACTGGAAGACCAGGCCTGAAGCCAAATCTTCAAGTCTGCGCCAGAGCATATCCGAAGTATCCCTTATCACGGATGATCTCTCCCATGCCACATTAGAAGATGTTTGGGATGTTAGTAGCCAATTAGAGAGGCACCAGGAAAACTGGAAGAGACATCTTGGGCCAGGTGTATCCACCCAGAAGAAAATAATCACACAAGAGGAAACTTTTGAGCAAAATAAATTTGGTGAAAACTCTGGATTGAACACAAACCTGGTTACACAAGTGAACATTCCTCCAAGGTCTAATGAATGTAATACACTTGGGACCAATTTGGGACATAATTCAGATTTACTCAATCAGAATAATATCCTTGCAAAAAAGAAACCTTATAAATGTAATAAATGTAGAAAAGCCTTTATTCATAGATCATCACTAACTAAACATGAGAAAACTCATAAAGGAGATGGAGCTTTCCCCAATGGTACAGATCAGGGAGTTTATCCTGGAAAGAAACATCATGAGTGTACTGACTGTGGAAAAACCTTCCTCTGGAAGACACAACTTACTGAGCATCAGAGAATTCACACCGGGGAGAAACCCTTTGAATGCAATGTGTGTGGAAAGGCCTTCAGGCATAGCTCATCCCTTGGTCAGCATGAAAATGCTCATACTGGCGAGAAACCCTATCAGTGTAGTCTCTGTGGGAAAGCCTTCCAGCGCAGCTCCTCCCTTGTTCAACACCAGAGAATTCACACTGGAGAGAAACCCTATCGTTGTAATTTATGTGGGAGGTCTTTTAGGCATGGCACATCCCTCACTCAGCATGAGGTCACACATAGTGGAGAGAAACCCTTCCAGTGTAAGGAATGTGGGAAAGCCTTTAGTCGATGTTCTTCCCTTGTCCAACATGAGAGGACTCATACAGGAGAGAAACCTTTTGAATGTAGCATATGTGGGAGGGCTTTTGGTCAGAGCCCATCCCTTTATAAACATATGAGGATTCATAAGAGAGGCAAACCTTACCAAAGCAGTAACTACAGCATAGATTTCAAGCACAGCTCCTCTGTTATGCAAGATGAAAGCACTCTCACTGAAGTGAAGTCCTATCATTGCGATGATTGTGGGGAAGACTTCAGTCATATTACAGACTTTTCTGACCATCAGAGGATCCATACTGGAGAGAACCCCTATGATTGTGAACAGGCCTTCAGTCAACAACCTATATCTCATACTGGAGAGAAACCCTATCAATGTAATGTATGTGGAAAAGCTTTCAAAAGGAGTACAAGTTTCATAGAACATCACAGAATTCATACTGGAGAAAAGCCTTATGAATGTAATGAATGTGGAGAAGCCTTCAGTCGACGCTCATCACTGACTCAGCATGAGAGAACCCACACAGGAGAGAAACCCTATGAATGTATTGACTGTGGGAAAGCCTTCAGTCAGAGTTCATCCCTCATTCAGCATGAGAGAACACATACTGGAGAAAAACCCTATGAATGTAGTGAATGTGGGCGAGCCTTCCGGAAGAAAACCAATCTGCATGATCATCAGAGAATTCATACTGGAGAAAAACCCTATGCTTGTAAGGAATGTGGGAAGAATTTCAGTCGAAGCTCAGCTCTTACTAAACACCAGAGAATTCATACACGAAATAAACCCCAGGAACCCTGACATAAAGGAATGTGCTGAAAGCTTTAGCTAAAATATTGTTCCTACTTAGTATCAGAGGATTCTTACTGGAGAGAAAGCTTGGGAATGTAATGAATTATGTGTGTGTGTGTGTGTTGTGTGGAGAAAACTGTGCTAGTAGTGTTTTTTTTAATAAATAAAAGCTACATTCTCAGATCTGATAACAGACATGTAAAAACTATAGACATCTTAACATAACCTGTTAGAAATGATATGCCTATATATTAGACTTTGTAAAGATTTTGAATATATGTATGTAGGAGGTCACCAACTTTCAACAATTTAACTTGTAACTCTCACTGTTTACAACCTTTTTTAAAAAATAAATAAAACTCCTGCTATAGTGACCAAAACTCATTTTTAAATTACTTGAAAGCTGCATTCAACTGTATCTCTTACATTAAATTTACCATAGAAACCAATTCCACCTCCAAGAATTCACCATTCAAAGAATTAGATCAACTGGTCCAGCCACTTCATTGTACAGATGAAGAAACTGAAAGCCAAAGATGCGAAGTGGTTTGCACAGCATGATACGTTTATAACGGCAAAGCTGGGTGAATATGCAGGTCTCCTGGATCTTTGGCCCTGTGGTCTTGCCACTAAGAAGATATTTTGGAATTCAGGGCTTTAAAATAAGTTTTGAAACAATCAGATGCACAAATAGTCAATGCGCACTCTGGAGCTGAATACTTTGGGAATCATAAAAGCGTAAGAGGCAGCAGGACACATGCAAATTTATCATACACTTATTTACAGCAACTTATTGGAAGCTTACAAACCAAAATGTTAACAGAAATTGTTAATAGTTGAACTACTGATGACTTTTTTCCTTTTCTTAAATATCATACTTCAGGTAACATAAGTCATAGAATTATTGTCTCCTTACTGTGCTTCATGTCTCTCCCATGGAAAAAAATAAAAAGCACTGCCCCAAGCTTCCTAGGTTGGATCAATGGGAAAACAAAACAGAACTAAGAAAAAAAAATCCCCAAATTAATTTTACTGTTGGAGAAGTGTAAGTCCAATTATTTGGATAATAGTAACTTGCCATTAAGTCAGTTTAGAGAATTGGCATGTAATGAATCATTTTGTGTGCCAAAGAAGTTTTCACCATTAAAAAATTAACTTTTTTTTCAGCTCTGTGGTGCTTTTCCATCAGTAAAGCATGAGGGAAGCGTCAGTGATCCACTCTAATCCTTAATATCCCCTGATACCTCCCATGGCTATCCTAAAGGAATTTCCAGAATCTTTGTTGGTTCTTTGGCACCAAGAGTGCAGATAAGTTTGGAAGCAACTATGAAAATTGACCTCTTTGATAAAAGATCCTCTGCACCCCCCGCCCCCAAGAAGAGCAAATTTTCCCACCCTAATGATTAAGCATAGGGGAGGAGTGATATGGGGTGGTGTTGGTGAACCTTTCCTGCTGGCTGCTTTGCATGTCAGGTAACAGAATCTATAACTTTTGTCTCATCCTGGGTAGCATGAGGCAGCTCCCAAATATCCTTCATAATTCTTCGCAGGAAAAATGTGCATGGGGCCTGAAATGTGGGCTGTCTGGCCCAATGAGTTTAGTACATGTGGAGCAAGATGGGATGGGATACTCTATAGCAGATCTGCCCTTCCAAAACATTAAGCATTCAAAAATGCCTTGTTTATGATATTCCACGTTTAGTGCACACAGTGCCAAGACCATGCTTTTGTGATACACAGTTTAACAAGGGGTAATTCTACTTGGAATCTCCTCTACTAATTGTCTAGGATGCCTAACAGGAACTCATTTTGCTGCTGAATGTTTGGGGATCCCCATAGTGGACTGTTTGCAAGAACGGCATGAATTGTAACCAGTTGAGTGCTACACAACTGTTATGGAAGTTAATAAAGACTTAGTTCCAGAAGACCTAAAGGAGACCACTGGTTTGTGTGTGGAGCCTGGCCTTTATCTACCCAATCTCTGAATCTCAGCACATCTTCATTGACAGGGAGGGAGCCCAGGATTTATGTATGGCTGATTTAGCAGAGGAATCTCTAGTCCCAGCAACCATGCACCGTGCACTTACGAACACCCAGCTTTCTGGGCTATGTGAAATACATCCTTGTAACATCATTGTATTATTTCAATAAATAGCCTTCTTAGTTGAATGGGAGTTAGTTTGTCTTTTTCAATTTTCAGAACTTGGCTAAGATTAAAGAGTGACGCATCAAGGAAGAGGGATTACCTGCTAAACTCATCACAGCCAGGTGAGTTAATAGCTATCATTTGTTGAATGCTTACTACTTGTAAGACGTTGTGCTAAGTACTTCATAGCCATCATTTCATTTGATCCTTAGAGTTCCCCATTCTAGGTCTTGTGGTATCTCTGCCCAGCTTTCCCTCCCTTTTCCTCTAGTAACAGTCCCTGCTTCACTCACCACAAAAACTCAAGTCAAGACATCTTGGGGCTCAGTAATAGATCCAGGGACAAACAAGTGACCTAGTTGAGCCATTCGGGGTCTTTTGACAGGATTTTTTCAAAATAGAGTTAGCAAGGATACTTTGGGTTGCTAGACTCGAAAGGTGAAGGCCTAGAGTTGCCTGGAGCTGGATTCCTTACCAGAGAGGGGAGTTCTGTTGTAGTAAGAGAGGATGCAACCGACATGATGTTCTCATTTCTAATTCCTGACATCCTTGGACTTGGCTTAATTTGTGACGCTCTTCTTGGGATTTTATAGGCTCCCCACTATCCGATGATTCTCCCTTTTTGATTAAGCTAATTTGTTACATTTCTGTTGCTTGCATTAAATAAACCAAATGCGAGTATTATATCTTTGTTTATAATGTGGGGAAAAGCCCAAGGAGACAAAGTACTGCCCATGGCAGATTCAGACTTGGAGCCCAGAAGTGCTTGGCTGCAAGGGCATTGCTCTTAACCTCATGTCTCCAGAGCCATGTTATGTTCAAGGAGCTGCACGTAACAGTCGTTTGGGGGTGAGTGGATGAAGGGATATGGTGCTAGATTAGGTCAGAGACCAAGTGGAGATAAAATGATAAAGGGCCTTGAAATGTTTTCTTGACTATTTCAGGAAATTAAATCCCCTAAATTCACTCAACCCTCACACCTTAATATATCAGATATTTACAATTGCCTATATTGTAGATAAAATCTTGTATAATCTTAAATAAAAACCTTTCTCATAAATATTTCTTATATTACTACACAGTCTCATGATCCCTTTAACAAATTTCCTATTGTTGCAATAATATTTAGATTGTTTTGGGCACTGATTTTTATAATGACGTTGAATACTTTTATTTTTAAAAATACTCTTACCTTTTTTTCTATAGAATTTTTTCTTAAAATATCCAGAAAGAGATAAAATATCCAAAATGGGATTACTGTGTCAGCGTGTAGAGGTAAGTATAACCCGATGGTGTGAGGCTCATAAAAGAATATACTAGATATGATAGCACAAGAGTAATAGTCTGGGAATTGCAAAAGGGAAGCAGGAGAAAACCATTCTCCCACTCCTAGTGCCTGCTTGTGTCTGGGGAAGGGCAGCAGGGCAGGCGTGTCCGCCAGTAACACTCATGTGTGCCAGGTAGAGAAGAAACCACTTCTGCAGTGATTAGGCGTGATGGTGATGCTCGGTTCTTTATGGCTGCAGTGGGCTTTTGTAAATACTGAACTAGTTACCTCCTAGGTTAAAAATGCAAATGTCACATCAGGGAAGAGTTAAAGACTGCCCTACTTCAACAAAATTGGTCTCCTTTTACATTTTCATGGGTTATTGTTAACGTCCTTTACCTTACCGCAATTTGTATTTTAGATTATTTCATTCTCTCCCCCACCCCCAACACACCCCACAGTTGATTGTGAATTCCAGGAAGACAGGGTCCACATCTGTTTTGCTAACTTTTTGTCCCACTGCTTATCACAATGCCAGGCATGTAATAGGTACTCAGTGCAGTCTTATTCGTGAACATTACTATGGAGATATGTTGACAGACAAAGAAGACTGGCTTGTAAGTGAAAGAGTGCTCAGTCTTGAAATTAGAATATTGCAGAAGAAAGCAGTGGGATCATAGTTCATATCCACTAGGCTGGCAGAAATTTAGAAATCTGGCAGGGGGTATAGAAGTGAGAACTTCTATACACTGTTGGTGAGAGGGTAAACTGATGTAATCATTTGGGGAGTAATTTGGCAATATCCAGTAAAATTGAAGCTAAGCATACTTCTTAACCCAGCGATTCCATTTGTAGATATATGTGGTAGACTAGAAATACTCACATGTGAGCACAAAGACATACAAAGATGATCACTGCAGCAGTGTTTGAAATAGTAAATATATGGACACAACACAGATGTCTGACAGTAAATGAATGGTTAATAAATCATAGCATATTCTTGTTTAATACAATACAGTAAGTACATAGAGGAACCAGGGTATCAGGCAAAAACAACAACAACAATCCAAAAAAGCCTTTCTAGCTCACCTTTTCCACTCCTGGACCCATGTGAGTAAATGTGGCTGGAGAATAGCAGCCACAGTGACTAGTTCCACTTTAAATTCCTGGCTGCTAACCTCAAGCATTTGTTTCCCTAGTCCAGTCACTGTCCTGGTCTCCTTAGGTGCTGTTTTATAGCTTGTCTTCTCAGCCTCCAGCTCTTTGTCCCAGTCCTTAGTCAGCTAGCGACCTTGTTTCCTAGCTAACTGAGAAAAATAAGAGCAATCAGAAGGTAACTACTGTCTTACATGCATCTTGTCCATGCACTCTTTCTTTATATCCTGATTCTGTGGTTGACTCTTTCTTCTCTTAATGTCTTCTCAACTTCTCCTCTGGTGTATTAGATCCTTTTCGTAAACTAGAACATCATTCCTACAATTGTCCTCTCTTCTGCATCTTTTTTTTCTTGTCTACTGTATCTTTCCCATCAGCAAAATAACAGGTAATTTTTCTCATCTTAAATATATGTATATATTTATTTATACATACATACATACATAAACTACATCTCCCTCCACCTGCCACTCCATTTCCTTCTTAATAGTATTCCTCAGTAGAGGTGTCTATCTAATACTCATTGTCTCCAGTTCCTCTCCTTCCAGTCTCTCTTGCATTCCCTCCAATTAGGTCTTTGTTTCTGCTCTTGTCAGAGGTCACTGATGGACTCTATGTGGCTAAATCCAGTGGTCTTTTTTTCAATTCTTTTTCTTGACCTGTCAGCATTGTTTGGTACAGTTGATCACTTCCTCACCCTTGCACATTTTTTTCATTTGGCTTTCAGATTATCACACCTAGATTTCCTTGTACTTTACTGACATCTACTTCTCCCAGTTTCTTTATGTCCCCTTGCTTTAGACATAGGAATTCTAGGGCTCAATCTTTGGACCTCTTTTCTTTTTCTACATTGGGGCTCTCATCCTAGTGTGAGGGCTCTCACTGGGGCTCTCATCCTGTTTCAACTTGCTGACAACTTAAAAATTTTTATCTCCAACCCAGCTCCATACTCATGTAACCAACTGCCTACTTGATGTCTCCACTTGGATGTCTAACAGACATCTCAAATTTAATATGTCCAAAGATAAACTGACTTATGATCTCCCCCTCCCAGTCCCATCATAAACATATTCCATCCTCAGTCCTCCCATCTGGGAAAAGGCAACCCGATCCTTCCAGTTGCTCTGCCCCCAAACTGGGGAGCTATTCTTGATTCTTTTGTTTCACATCCCACATCCAAATTTCAATAAGCTCTGTCTGCTAACTTGCGGGATATTTGAGAATGGCCACTTCTTGTTGCCTCTACTGCCCTAGCCTATGTCACTATCATCTGTGGTCCAGATGTTTGCAATAGCCTCTAATTGGTTCCTCTGCTTCCATCTATGCCTCTCTGTGTTCGAAGTTCAGCAGCCAGAGTGATACTGTAAAAATCTAATAAGATTGTGTCACTTATCTTCTCAAAGCTCTCTAATAGCTCTCCACTTCATGAACACAGGCTAAAGCAGAAGCCCTACTTAGTACTGGCACCACCTGCTGCCCTGTATTACCTGTGTGACTCACCACTCCTCTCCTTTCTTGATCACTATGCTCTGGGCCCACTGACCTCTCTGCAGTAGCTTTTTTTTTAACATTTTTTATTGATTTATAATCATTTTACAATGTTGTATCAAATTCCAGTGTAGAGCACAATTTTTCAGTTATTCATTGTCACATTTTTTTCTCCGTGAGCTACCATAAGATCTTGTATATATTTCCCTGTGCTATATACTCTCTGCAGTAACTTAAACACCCACAGCAAGCTTCCACTTCAGAACCTTTGCATTTTCTATTCACTTTTCCTGGAATCCTCTTCCCCTAGATATCACCTGGTTTGGTTTCTAACCTCCAGTAGATCTTTGTTCAATGAACTCTTCGTTGACTATGCTATCAAAATAGCAATCACCCTGCGTGGCATGCTCTAATTCCCTTCCCAGCTTCATTTTTTCCATAATACCTACCATCAACTGACACTCTAAATAGTTTACTTATTATATGTCCTTCTCTAGAAGGTAAGCTCCGCGAGAGTAGAGATTAGGGGGGATGTAAATTTTATTGAAGCATAATGTTCTTACAGTAAAGTACAAAAATAGCAAGTGAAACAGCTTGATGACTGAGGACAGCAACTTATGTATCTTTTGTTCAGTGCCCTGTCCCCAGTACAGGAGATACTCAAATATTAATAAATGGTTGAACTGGATGTACATATATTAACAAGAAAAACACTGAAAATAATTGAAAATAAAGTTGCAGAAGGGTTGTATATAGTGTGATGTAACTTTTTAAAATCCATAACACGTATTTTTTTAATCAACACACATGAAGTAAAAGTAGGAAATTAGTGAAACATCAGCTTCAGAGTGGTGGTTTCCCCTGGAGCTAGAGGGAAAAGGGATGGGAAGGGATAAAAGAAGGCTTAAACTTTCATATTTTTTTAATAAAAGCTAATCTAACAAAATATTTGTTTAAATATTTGTTCAAAGAGGGTGATGCATATTTGTTGTATGTGCCTCTGAGTGTTTAAACTCTTTTACAATTAAAGTCTGCCTCCTTGCTCTTACCTGGTTCCTCCTTGCCCAAAGCCACCTGCTTGGTTCCTCTTGAAGCATTAGCCTGTTTGACCTGTACATTCAGCGTGACTGAAGGACTTAGGAGAAGGAATAATGGGCATTCATGCTCCCAAGGGTGAGAAGCTGATCCAAGCCCAAGAAAGGAGCGCCTTGGCACTGTCAAATCAAGCAAAGCATTCCCATTCTCCATAAATGCCATTTGAGGGAACAATTAAAAAGAAAGGAATGGCAGGGGAGCAGAAGGCTTCCTGTAGATGAGGAACATAAGTGATTATTGGCAGGAGTTGGTGGAAGGAGAGAACTAATTTTTGCTAATTGCAGTGAAAGCCCTATTAATTTTGGAAAAATACTTTTTGGGGGGCATTTTAATGGATAAAGGAAACAAGAAATTTGAACCTGATATATAGATGGTGTTTTATTCTGCTATGACCAGACAAGTATAGTTGTAGTAATTAGTGGGGTTTTTATTTCACTATGTGCATTAAGAAACTAGCAATTACTAATTGTTCTTGAATTTTAATACTCATTTTCAAAAGTTAAGAGTTGTCACAGGGTTTTGGCAGGGAATTTTTGTTTGTTTGGCGTTGCTGATAAAGCCCCAAAGATGAAAACAAAGCATCATATTGCCCTACCTTCTAAAAGGTACCACAAGAACTGGGCACTCTGTCCCACCGCATGCACTCGGAAGTGTGGGAGTCGCACAGGCCCCAGTGACACGTAACCATGCAACAGGGTCAGATCCAGAGGAGAGGGTACTTGTGGTCTTAGGGTGAGGCCCCTGCCTCTCCCCAAGGGGCTGTGGGACTCAGGTACCAAGAGAATGACTGGAAGTATTAGAGGCATCTGAAATCGCTGGAGCTTGGTGTCTTCATCCCCAGCAAACCCACAGGCCCACTACCCAGAATTCTTGCGATAGCTTACCGTGTGCCCCTGAAGAGTGTGTATTCGGTGGTAAGGAGGTGGGGAGGAATCTAACGCAGACAAGTGCCTGTAACTGGAGATTTCTGAAGGGAGGAGTGTGCTGTTGGGATAGCCTCTGGGTGCAGAGTGTGAAGTCCTCTGAGCGTCTGCCTTTGTGTTGTGCCTAGGAAGAAAAGAACAGGACGGCTTTGTCCGATTTCTTTGCCGCCACAGATCACAAGAAAGGATTTCAATAGATCTTAGGTGGAGTGACCAGATATTTATAATTGGTCGGCTAAACCGGGACGTTGAGCTCATTCTCAAGGGGGAGCTAACCAGATGGGAAGCTGGGACTGTGCTTGAGGGACATAGGTTTATCGTGTCCCTGAGTTCCCTGTAGGAAAGAAAGCAGAGTGGGCAGGAGGCATAGTGCTGTGTCCCACGGTCTGTCCGACCAAACTAGGGGGTGACCCACCTGGAGAGGGGTTGGCCCACCTGGAGAGGGGTTGGAGCTGAAGACTGAACGAGGCCACCCCGCTAGGAATGAATACAGTGAGCTGGGGTGAAGCTGCACATAGGCCCCAGACCCGTGCGCATCTCCCTGTGAGGAAGCCGCCAGCCCCGGGACCACAGGCCTGACACAGCAGATGCGCGCAGGGCATGAGGGCATCTAAGAAGGTATAAATTTGGAGTCTTAAACTGGTCTAGACTGAATTTTAATAATTCTAAGTAAGCACAAAATTGCATTACCTCAGGTTAAGGGCTCCTAGAGGATCTGACAGCGGTGTGGTGGAGATGAGAAAGCCTTTTTAAATGGTAACACCACACAGATTAGAACGTTTATACCAATTGTAGACTTAACAGGAAGATCTGGGTGTGCCTTTTGAAGAGGTATCAAAGGAAGCCCACTTGGGTCCCCCGATACTGTACGAGCGCTGGGCAGGCAGTGCAGTCCTCCAAGTACTGTCCATCCGAGCACGGCAGGGCTGGAGACTACATTTCCCGAAAGCCTTGGCGGTAACGCACTTCCGCTTCCGGCTTGACGTCTTCCGCTGCCGGCGCGGGCGCTCCAGGGAGAACGAGGCTCTGGCGCCTTGCACTCTCAGTTTCGGTCTGCGCAGGCGTGTACGCATCGCTTGGTGTTCGCTCTTTTCTGAGCAAACGCAGAGGAGGCAGGGCCTTGGGCGCGCGACTTTTGCACCGCACCCTGCTTCTGGGGCCAAGCTGCCTTCCTCCCGTAGCCACTACCAAGCACCCCCGCCCCACGGCTAGAACAGCCCAGGCCAGGACCCCTCCCCTCTTCCTGCACTCTGCCCAGTGGCTGGAAACTGCCATCTCCCAACACGAGACCTACTGGACAGTTTGGGGATACGGTGAATCATATGAGATGGTCTAGGTAAGTGGAGAAACTTAAGATAACAATATCTCCTCTCTCTGAAAAAAAAAAAAAAAGCGTGGCTTAACCTGAGGAGCTGTAAGTTTCTACTCCCCCCGAAACAAGGTCATAAAAACAGAAACACCATCTCTTCCTCTCTCCTCCTGCCTGCTCCATTCCTAGTGAAAGGAAAGGTCCTGTGCAGGTAGGCTGGAGGGGGAGTAATGAAGTCTTGAGTGAAGCGTTACACTCATGGTAATTGTGGTCTACGTAACTAGGGCCAACTCTTCTATGGAAAATGATGTAAGCTGGATGAAATGTTGAAAAAAGAAAAGCATTCCAAAGAGCTAGCAAGAGAGTGAAGAATTGGGGATTAAACGCTAGGATAAGCAAAAGACTAAGTAATAATCCTAGTGCTCAAAGCTGCTTTTGCTTGAAGGCATTTGCTGGTGGAAAGAAACCCCTGTGAAACCCAGCTGTGAGGCTGGTAGACTTGCAATATAAGGGGTATAAGTGTAAAAGTCCTGAAAGCTGTGAGCCTAAATAATCACCCACATTTGAACTGAGACCCCAAGTGAAGACACCCTCAAGAAAATGTTGAACTGGAGGTAAGCCCTGGCATAGATGTGCTCCCACATTCAGGTTGACTTGGAGATGTAGAGATCCTCAGCCTTCAGACTCTATAACATTGACCTAGTGGTGGGCCCCAGTACCTGGCAAAAGCAAACAAAAATGATCCTTAGAGAATGGTGTTATCATCTCATACCTCAGAGTATTCACACATACTTCCTTTTTTAAAAAAATAACTTCCAGCATATTCTCAAAGATAACCAGATACATAAGGAAATAAGACATTATGAAAGAGAACATGCAGGAATAATAGACAATAAATACAGACACAAACATTTCATATATTGGAATTATCAGAGAAAGAGTATAAAATAGCAATTCTTAGTATTTTAAAAGAGATAAAAGACAAGGTTGAAAATATCTACAAAAACAAAGCTTAAAAAACTGACAGCAGATTTGAAAAAAAATAGAACTTAAAAAAAGATATAATTTTAAAAACAATAGCTATGTGTTTAACAGCAAATTAAACATAAAAGAAGAGAGAATTAATGAATTGGAATATAAGTGAGAAGAAATTGCCCAGAAACTAGTGTGCAGACAATGAGATGGAAAGTACAGAAGATAAAGTGTAAAACATTAAATCATTGTGTAGGAAGCCCAACGTAAATTTAATCAGATTCCCAGAAGGAAAATATAGAGAAAGCTATAAGAAAGACATACCAAGCTATAGATTTAAGAAACCCAATGAAACTCAGAGGATAAATAAAAATAAGTCCACAAAAGATACATCATGGTGAAGGAATAGTATATAAAAGGAAAATAAAATTTTAAAAGCAGTTAGGAGAAAAAGATCAATTGACTTCAAGTAGTAACAGGTGACTTTCCAAAAGCATTCCTGGAATTCATATGAATGAGCTATGAAATCTTCATTGTGCTTAAAATATGTGTCAATCTAGAACTCTGTATATAGAAAATATCTTCCAAGAATGTATCTTTTACTTTTTTATTTTTT